TGCCTCAGTATCCCCATCTCTAAAATGCTGATTTTATCCCTCACACCGTTACCATGAGGATTAAATGGGGTGATGAAAGCATTTAAGTGCTGTCCACATACTGCTCAACTAATGTTATGGGAATGTTAACAACTGTTCTTCCTACCTCCGATGGCTGTTTTAATGATCCAATTCAATTTATATTTTTATTTGAAAGTGATAGCAAAATATGAGAATATTGAGTACGGCCTTTATAGCCATCATCGTCTTTCTTTCATTGGTTTAAGAACTAAAATTACTAAAAGGCAAGGATTTTGTTAAAATTACTTTAGGACTTAAATATGTTGCCTCCTCTTTGAAGATCAGCCAATCAGCCACTTTCCACATTGTCATGGGTTTGAGAAGAGGCACATGGCCCTGCCTCTAAACTAGGCTGATGGAACTCTGTTCTCTTGATATTCTCAGGTGTATGGTAAACCCAGAGCTGGCTTTTAATCACAGCCCCACCACTCATTAGCTGTATGACCTGGAGCAAATGACAGACCCTAGCCAATTTAGGAATCCCTCCTGTAAAACAGGAGGAGAAGTAATAATAGCCATGTCACAGGGTTGATGAGAAATGCAAAGCCTGGAGCACAAGATGCTAGTACTGTTGGTACTTGACCCCATCCCTTCTTCTCACTGCCACTGTGTTGGACATTGGACTACATACAAAGAGGCATTTCAGAGCAATTTTTAGAGTCTGGGCACGGTAAGGGTATACCTACTGGAGGAAGCAAAGACCAGAACCAGAAGTAGTGTGGAATTGTCTCTTGAAAATTCGTTTAGTAAATAAATAGATGGAAGATGTTCAATATTATATGGCTTATTAAGGAAATACAAATTAAAATGAGGTATGTATAAAAAATAGTGAGCTTTTGATATATGTTTAGTGAAATAGGCATTCTAGATGTTCATTGTGGTAGTGGAAAGGGTAGCAAACCTTTCAATATATGTTTCTTTTTAACTGAGATATAATTCACATACCATAAATTCACCCTTTTAATGTGTACAGAATTATGCAAGCATCACCAATATCTGATTTCAAAAACCCTGTACCCATTAAGCAGCTGTTTCCTATTCTCTCAGCTCCAACCACCAATCTGTTTTCTGTCTCTATGGATTTGCCTATTCTGGATATTCATATAAATCACACAAAATTTGATCTCTTATGTCTGGCTTCTTTCACTTAGCATTGATGGACATCTGGGCTGTTTTCCACCTTTTGGCTTTTGTGAATAGTGCTGTTATGAACTTATATGTACATGTATTTGGGTACCTATTTTCCATTCTTTTGGGTTTATACTTAGGAAATTTCTGGGCCATATGGTAATTCTGGATTCTCATTCATTCATTTTTTTTTTTTTTTAAGGAAAGCCTGGTCTTGGTGCCCACTCATTATCCATGTGAGCTCTTATAGGTCTGTAGCATATATATATAAATGTTTTATTTATTTATTTTATTATTATTATTATTTTTTATTTATGATAGTCACACACACACACACACACAGAGGCAGAGACATAGGCAGAGGGAGAAGCAGGCTCCATGCACCGGGAGCCTGACATGGGACTCCATCCTGGGTCTCCAGGATTGTGCCCTGGGCCAAAGGCAGGCGCTAAACCGCTGCGCCACCCAGGGATCCCCTCATTCATTTTTGAAGCATGTTTTTTGGCCAGAAACAGTCTTGGTTGACTTTAATTTTTTTTTTTTTCTTCTGACTTTCAGCACTTTGAATATGTCATTCCATTACCTTCTAGCTGCCATGGTTTCTTTCTTCTTTTTTTTTTTTTAACATGTTCATTTACTCATTTATTTAATAAATATTTATCAAGTGTCTGCTATATGATAGCATATATGATAGCTATATGATAGGTGTTTTTGTTTTTTGCTTTTAGGTATTTGGGATTGACTGCCATGGTTACTGCAGAGCCCAGCTGTTAGTCTTATTGAAGATGCCTTATACTGAATGAGCCATTTCTCTCTTGCTGCTATCTCCTTGTCTTTGGCCTTTGACAGTTTGATTATGATGTGTCTAGGTCACATCTCTGAGTTTTTCCTACTTGGAATTTGCTGAGCTTTTTAGATGTCCTTCAGAAACCTTTTGGAAGTTTACTCAGATCTTGCAGCCCTGTCCTTCCTTTGTTTCTGGACTTCTCAGTATGCATATGCTGATATTCTTGATGGTGTCTCACATTTCTTGGAGTCTGTGTTTATTTCTCATCTCTCTCTCTCTCTCTCTCTCTTTTTTTGTTTTCCTCAGGTTGCATAATCCCAGTTGGCCTATTTTCAAGTTTGTTGATTCTTCTGCCTGTTCAAATCTGTTGAGCTCCTCTAGCAGAGTTTTCATTTTAGTATTTTTCAACTCCAGAATTTCTATTTGGTTCTTTTTTTAATAATTTCTAACTCTTTTTTGTTATTTTCTATTTGGTGACACATTATCTCCACTCTTTCCTTTAGCTCTTTAGATATGGTTTCTTTCATTCTTGAACAAACTTAAAATAACTGATTTAAGACTTTTGTCTAGTAGGGATTTCTCAGAAACAATTTTTATTAACTCTTTTTTTCTTGTATATGGACCATACTTTTGTTTCTTTGTTGTATTGTGATTCTTTGCTGAAAACTGGACATACAGAATAATATAATGGATATCAGATTCTCTTCTTCACTCACACATTCATAGTTTGTTGTTATTTGGTTAGTGACTTTTGTGAAGTAAATGTGAAAGTCACATGTGACCACCAAAGTCTCTGCTCAGTTCGTTTACTGGTCAGCTAATGATTAGAGGTTTCCTTAAATGCTTAGATCAGTAAGTCTCCCAGTCTTTGCCAAGGATCTCTATGTACATATTGGGACATGCTTTCAGTGCTCTGGCAGGTACTTGATAACTCTGCCATGGTCTTCACTTCTTGTTTGCATAGAATCTCAAGGTCAGCCCCAGGGGAGGACTTGGGGCCTTCTCATGTCTTTCCTGAGCAAGCACAGTGCTTTTGCATGCAAATTGCCTTCTAATTTCCCAAGAAACCTCCAAACTCCCCATGGAAGGTTTTCCAAAGCTTCCATGGGAGCTTCTAGCTTTTCCTTCTAAGCTTTTTGTTCAGCCAGTTTACCCAAACTGTTATCCTTTGCCTCAGCTGTGATATTAAATAATTGCTTCTGATTATTTTCAACAAATGCCCTTAAGGAAAAAGAAAGATAGCTTTGCAAGTGGAGTCATCCAGGAAGGAAGGAAAGGAAAAATAATGACAATTCTCTAGGAAAGGGGCTTTGATGGAACTCAACACCATTCTGCCCCTTCAGCGGCTGTCAGGCTGCTGGCTTCCATTCTGATTGCAGATGCTGGTTATTAGGGCTGCTGCAGAATTGGGGAGCAGTGGATGGGAATAGGGCAAGTTAAAATGCCACAAAGGTCTTTTATTCTTACCAAAATTCAGCCATTTTCTTGAATAAACACTCCATAGATTACTGCAAACCTTTGGTTAATTTCTAGAGTTCTGAAAAAGTTGCTTCTGATGATTTTTTTGCCAGTGTTCTTATATGTTTTACAGAGGGGAGGCTCTTTGTCCTTATTCCACTGTTTTGCTGACTTTTTTCAATGTATATTGAGTCTTAGACTTATACCCCATGAATTAATCCCAAAGCAAGGGGTAAAAAAACATGTCCACCAACATGTTTACTAGTGTTATTTATAATAGCGAAGAATTCAAAATGTTCTAAATGAGTAACAGCAGGGAAAAGCATGTAAATTCTGGGTCACACTATTATGTAGCTGTATAAGTGAAAGAGGAGGCCTGGGTGGTGGGATTATAACATGGAAGTTGTAACTCCTGGTTCTAGAGTCTGATATACTGGGTTATAGTTTGGCTCTGAGATTTATAGTAAATGACTTGCAGCAAATTAATTTGTCTCTATAAGCCTCAGTTTCTCATCTATAAAATGGTGGCAGTTCCGTAGTGGTGCTGAGACCTTTCACAGAAGGTGTCCAGGTGATATGCTTGGCTCAGTCATTGCTAGCACCTAGAGGATGAATATACAACCTATAATTCTACCATTGTAGTGCCTTTTCTTCCAATCTTGGTTTTTCCATGCACTGCCAAGGGATTTTTTTTTATTTATTTTGGTTATAGCATACATAAAATTTTACATCCTCCTAGTTTATTTGCCATTATATCACTGTTGTCGCTATCAATCAACAGAAAATTCTTTATGACATATGATAGGATTATGGGTTGTACATTTTCTCTTTTCCATTTTATTGTTATTTTTTAATCAATGGGAAAGATAAATGTATACTCATAGTAAGAATCTCTTCTTGGGGTATTTTTGTGGCTCAGTTGGCTAAGCAGGTGACTCTGGGTTTCAGCTCAGGTCATGATCTGGGATCTAGCCCTGCATCTGGATTCCGTGCTCAGTGGGGAGTCCGTTTGAGGACTATCTCTCCCTCTGCCCCTCTCCCCCACTCATGCTCTCTCTAAAAATAAATAAATCTTTAAAAAAGATGAAGAATCTCTTCTTAAAGAAGGTGGAGCTCTTTAGGAGGGTCTAGTCAGGAGCACTCTCCATTAGACACTGGGATGGTGGAAGTTTGCTTCCAGGTGCATTTTTAGGGACTTTTTGGTAACCAGTATTTCCTGAGTCTCTGCAAGAGGCTGGGATGTATTTACTGATCTTCTTCAAAGGGATCTTTTATTGAGAGTCCTGGAGGCTAGGGTTCACTGCTGCCTTCTTAGAGTGGGTTGTGAAAGTGGAGGTTAAAACCTAGGGAGGGAACCCGATGTGGGACTCGATCCCAGGACCCTGAGATCAGGACCTGAGCTAGAGGCAGATTCTCAATCACTGAGCCACCCAGGTGTCCTAGGAGCACCCTTTTAAATTCTGTCATTCAACCTAAGAGTTTCCCTCTGGGGCCTCCATTTCTTAATCTGCTGCTCATCCATGCTTTTGATCTCTGTAATTTGGCAGGGCTTGTTTTTCCATTTCAGGTTCCGAGGTGCACCAATTATACCTGTGGCGGCCAAGCCTGGGGGACCAGAGGCCCCTGAAACAGAAGCTCCACAGGGCATCTCAGAGCTCATTGAGGTACTGTCAGCTTGAATCCAGGCTGGCCTCTGGCCCAAGCCCCACTCTGGCCCCTTGTATCCTGCTCAGTCTAAGGAACAGAAAGTGGGAGGCTCCTCAGCAAGAAGACTCTGAGCTTATTCCTTTAATCACTACCACCCCTCCCCCAGGCATATACTATACCTTGGTGTACCCTTCCTCACCTCCTCCTAGGAGTTAAACCTAAACAGAAGGAGAGGCCTCACTCTCTAGCCTAAGGTCCTGAAGAGCTGTCCACACCCTTATAAGTCATTCTTCTTCCTTCTCTTGTCAGCCACCCCCACTCAGACAGAATAGCTACTGCCTCGTGGGTCTCTGGGCCATATCTTCCATTCCAGGCCTTTAGACTATGCCAGTCTCCCCGTGGGTCACGATGTCTGATGGAGATGGGCCCAGCAGCAGGGCAGTGTGGCTTGGATCCTTGTGGTCTCCACTGGTGATCTCCAGTGGCCCTTCTGGGCATGGGCTCTTCCTCCAGGCTCAGTGCCAGTAGATACAGGGAGGGTGCCCAGCCACCACAGGGTGCCTAGGGCAGCCAGAGGGCAGCATGGGATGGTGGGGTTATGGTGATGCTGCTGTGAGGATGGCAGTGACTGGACAGACCACAGTGTCCCTCGCTCAGAAGGGTGAATGGCAACTCTGGGATGGGACTCTGGCCACAACACCTATTCTCTGTGCGGCCTTGGGCACATGACCTGCTCTCTCTTGCCTGTGCTCCTTTAGTTGTAAAGTGGGGAAAAGAACACTTACCTGTAGAGTTGGCCTGCAGGTTTCATGAGGTTAATGTGTCCTGTGCTCATAACACATTGTGTGCCGGATCAGAGTTCACTGTGACAGTGATGGTGCTTACCACATAGCAGGACCTGTACTGTTCTTTATGTACCTTTCACAATGATTATGAACTTTCACAGTGGCCCTGTGAGTGTCATATTATTTATCCCCATTTCACCAGGGAAGAGTCTGAGGCACAGAGAAGTTGAATAACTTGTTCAAGATCTCACAGCAAGTATGTGATGGAGCTGGTATTTAGTCCCAAATCAGTTGTTAGGTGTCTTTGGGGTCTACCTGCACCTGGACCCACAGAGCCAAAAACAGATGTGATCGTGTACACTGCCACCATTTCTATGATGACATGGTGCTGCTCTAATTGAGTTAACAAAGCAAACTTCTATGGCTGAGGCTTTTGTTACTTTTTCTTTTCCTTTTTTTTTTAAAGATTTTACGTATTGATTCATGAGAGACACAGAGAGAGAGAGGCAGAGACACAGGCAGAGGGAGAAGCAGGCTCCACACAGGGAGCCCGATATGGGACTCGATCCCAGGACTCAAGGATCACACCCTGGGCTGAAGGTTGGTGCTAAACCACTGAGCCACCCAGGGATCCCCTTTTGTTACTTTTTCATCCACTTCAGAGAGCACTGGTCTGGGAGCCTAGGTCAGTTCTTTTTATAAAGCAAAATTCAGAAATGCTATGAAAGATATTTATGTATTCCTTTTTTTTTAATTTAAATTTTTTATTTATGATAGTCACAGAGAGAGAGGCAGAGACACAGGCAGAGGGAGAAGCAGGCTCCATGCACCGGAAGCCCGACGTGGGATTCGATCCCGGGTCTCCAGGATCGCGCCCTGGGCCAAGGGCAGGCGCCAAACCGCTGCGCCACCCAGGGATCCCTATTTGTGTATTCCTTTAAGAAGCCTCTACAAAAATCCCAGGCCAAGCCTGTTTTGAATCTTTAGTCTTTTTCCAGAACAATTGTTATCACAAGGCTGAGAGTTTGGAACATTCACTACCGAATACTTTTTGACAGCCTCTTTCCTAAAAACATCAGAAAGCAGTGAAATAAAAGGAATAATGCAGTCTTTTTTTTCATTTGTTTATTGGGAATTAGCTCTGACATCTCCAGGCACATAGATAGCATGAGGAAAATGGGCTGGCTGTGGTCGAAGCGTGTGGGAAGCATCAACAGAGAAGCAGCAGCGGCACTGCAGACAGGGGCAATGCTGGCCATCGGTGGACGATAGGTGGTCCCTCTGTCTCTGTCTAGGCTGGAGCAGCAGCCTCACCCCTCCTGCCCGGCCATATACGGCAGCAGCCCTTTGCACCTGGGTCCTTGGGTCACCCTTCTCTCAGGCACTGTGCCAGCTGCTGGGGGTACTTGGAAGGATTCACGGCCCCGGAGGGAGACAAATAAACAATTGCTCACAATAATGTGTTAACTGGCGATGGGGGCGGGGAGCACAGCCATACTGAAGGGGCTGAGAAACCTTCCCAGAGGCAGCGTCTCCCTGGAGAAGGGAGGTGAAGCTGGCTGGTGTACTTCCAGGGCCTGCCCGTGGCTGGTGCCTGCTGGGGGAGGGCACATGGTGGGGGATGAGGCCTCCATGGTACCTAGGGGCTAGACGATGACACATGTTAAATCCTGCTGGCTTAGAAAGCTGGGAAAGCATGTGAGGTCTGATCCATGTGCCTCAGGTTGTCCTGCAGCAGGCTGCTTCTACTGTGGTGTGGAGGAGGGCCTGGAGACCAGCCTATTAGGAGGCTGTTGGTTATCCCAAAGAGAGGAGAGAGGAGACTTCTCCAGATGCCCTTTCCCTTTGTACCTATAGTAGGCTGGGGTATGGTGGGAGTCAGGGAGCTATGCACTTCTGAGCAGGGCCAGCTTGCCTAGGGACTGGGCCATACCCTCTGCCCTGTTCCACCCTGCCCTGTTCAGCACCTTTCCCCAGCAGCGTGTGGCACCTGCATGTGGCATCTCTTTTCTAGCTCCTGACGTCCCAGATATCCATCCCAACGAGAGACCCCTCAGGACCGCTCCTCATGTCTGTGGACCACTGTTTCTCCATCAAAGGCCAAGGCACTGTGATGACAGGGACCATCCTCTCAGGTTCCATCAGCCTTGGTGACAGTGTGGAGATTCCTGCCCTCAAGGTCAGTCTTACCTTGTCCTGCCTTTTTTGTCTGTCTCTCTAGTGGCAAGGGAGAGGGATGGTCCCTTTGCCTCCCCAATGGCTGAGCCAGCTCCCTGGGGCTGGCCCTCTGGCTCTGCTCTACTCCAACTTCTCTCCTGCCCTGCCTGGATTCTAGAACCACCACTCTCCCTAGTTCTCATAATAGGCATAGGTATTGGAGGCCTGTGATGTGCCTTGATGAATCTCCCCAGTAGGTGTTCTTTGTAGATAAAGAAACAGAAGCTGTGGTGGGCTCAGGGTCACATGGTCAACAAGTGAGGGTGCAGGGCATACACCCTCCCTTTCTACAGGCTCTGTACATCAGAGTGGCAAGGACATGTAAACTTACTTCTGGGTACTTTTGGCCTTGCCGCAAGAATTTCAAATTCAACACAGTTACAGCAATTGTGTTGCTCAGAGTCATACAATCTAGAAGATATCCAGAGAAGTTTTATACTCATAGTGACCACTAGTAGATGCTGTGTTATCCCTTGGAAGACCTGTGGACAGTTGCATGTCTCCCTTTTGCCCCCACCCCTGGTAACTACTGCCCTGGCTCTGATCTAAAAGGTGTTCAGTGGCCTTGATAGTTCCAGCTTCAGTGGGATTTTCTTGTGGTTTTAGCATACTGGAGAAGAAACACTTAGAGCCTCCTCGACCACCCTTCTCTTCAAGGGAGTTAAGGGTAGAGAAGAAGGGCTAGTTAGAACTAGGCAGATCTTATGAAGATAATTGGGGTCCAGGGTGGTTGTCTAGTTCTCCAGGGAATCTGGAGTGCAGGGATGCAGGGCCATGCACTTGGCCCCATGTACTAAGCCAGGGACAAACACCAGCTTCTGGTTGCACTCACAGCCTAGGTCAGTGAACTCAGTTTGCCTGTTAACTGGGAGTTCTCCTTGGAGGGCTGTGTTGTCGCAGATTCTGAGGTCATCTGGCTCACTAGATGTATTAGTCAGGGTCTTCCACAAACACAGAACTGAAAAGATGTGTATATATGTATACAGAGAGAAAGGGGTGTATTCTAAGGAGTTTGCTCTCACATGATTATGAAGCCCTGAAGGTTCAAAGTCCAAAGGATAGGCCAGCAGGTTGGAGACCCAGGGAAGACTTGCAGTTCAAGTCCGGAGGCTGTTGGCCAGCTGACTTTCTTCTTCTTCCAGGGAGTTCAATCTTCCTGTTCAGACCTTGAGCTGATTGGACAGTATCTACCCAAATGGTGGAGGGTATCTGCATTACTCAAGCCTACTCCTCTTTTTTTTTTTAATTTTTTTTAAGATTTTATTTATTTATTCATTCATGAGAGACACACACAGAGAGAGAGAGAGAGAGGCAGAGACACAGGCAGAGGGAGAAGTAGGCTCCATGCAGGGAGCCCGACGCGGGACTTGATCCCGGTCTCCAGGATCACGTCCTGGGCTGAAGGTGGCGCTTAAACCACTGAGCCACAAGGGCTGCCCAAGCCTATTCCTCTTAACATTAATCTCATCCAAAAAAGACCCTCACAGAAATATTCAGAATAATGCTCAACCAAACATGTCAGTATAGTGGCTCAGCCTATTTGAAATACACCATAAAATACACCATTACGCTGTGGGGGAGAACCATGATTATAGTGTCCACCATGAACAAGTGAGGGCAAGGGGCACCTCTACCTTGTGTTGGCCATTCTTGGCAGGATGTAGGAAAGAGGCATTTCGGGGTTGGGGAAATGACCAGGGCTTCCCCAGGTAGAGGAAATCTCAGCTTTAAATCATCCCACTCCACCCATTTTATGGTGGTGTGGCTGCTGCTCCCTTCTTCAGGAGGAGGGAGGACCAACCGCAAGGAAAGCTTCCCTTATGGGCCTGTGACTGGCTGGGTTCCTGGGCTCGCTGGGGCGACAGCGGGAGTTGAAGTACAATGCCCTTCCAAGTCCCAGGGCCTCCTCTGACTTAGGAACCACATCCTAGGTCATAATCCCCTCCTCCACGGCTGTTGTAGACTGTCTTCTGAAGACCATTAGTCCTGGATAAACACCACTTAAATCAAATCCATGTTGCGCCAGGGACTAAAAGTGTAAATCTTAAAAAAATAAAGCACAAAATTATGAAAATAAACCAAACTTCTATTTAACAAAGTTAAGATTATTATAGTGCTGTGTGTTAATTCTTAGCTGGAACAGAGAATTACTCAAATGGTAAATTTTTTTGCCTTCTGGGTGCTCCCTGAAGCAGACCCCGAGGGGCCACCCTTATCTAGTATCCCTTCTGCCTCGGGGGACACCCTCATCTAGTATCCCTTCTGCCTCGGGAGAAGACACATTTGCAGCCTGGGAGAGCAGCTGAGGGGAGGAAGGTGGTGTCAGAAGAGGTCACAAGTGGGACATAGACTTGAGTATAGTACCTGAGTGGGGAAAGGTGTTTGATGATAAGATCAGTGGTTGCCCTGCTTGATCAACAGTATGGGATGGGGGAGGGCCGAAGCTGAAAGAGTCAGCCACATTAAGCAGATAAGGATGTTTGAGTGGGGACTTGTTCTGAGATCTGTGGCTACTCTTTTTATCCTTATGAAGATGGAACTTGCCTATCAGGGTCCCATTACTGATGTGTAGTGTTTGGGTGCTTGGAAGGTGCTTGGCAAATATAATTTTCCTTCTGTTTTTGTTCACCAATTTCCCCTAGCCAACTTTTCAACTCTTTAGTGCTATGTTATTCTCTAATTTACTAGTCAGGGAAAGCATAACTTTTAAGTAGTGAACTTGAATATTTGACTGAAGAATTTTCCAATTAAAGTGTACAAAGTGCAGTCTGCTTTCTCCTTTGCTGCTTATGGTAAAATGTGAGAGGAAAGGAATGAATTGAAGGTGGAACTGTTAGCAAAAAGTTACCTACACTTGATGATTTGGGAGATTCTTGGCCTTTCCAGATTTTAAGCGATGCTAAAAGTAGGAAATTCACTTTAGAAAGCATGCTCTGGAGAAAGGCCAGTGATGAGGCTGGACAACCTTTGCTGTGAAGATTAGGTATGTGCCTCCTGGATCCAATCAAACATCTCAGCAGAAGCCAGGACTAGAGACCGGCTTCTCTAGGATGGATCTGTGGAGAACCCTCTTGTTTAATGGTGGAGATCCCCTTGACACATGAGAGACCCATGAGGTTTTTGAGATGTTGTATCAGCAAAAACACTGCCAGCCTAGACTAGAAGGAACAGGCCTGACGAAATTTCTTTTCTTTTCTTTTCTTTTTTTTAAAAAGCAGTTGGACTTCTGGTATTGTCATTCTAGGAAACAGATTGATAGAATTACTCAGTTAACTCATGCTATCTTTCAAGAAAAAGGAAGAAGGGGCAGAGCCGTGAACACAAAGGCAGAGGCCAGAGAGGCCAGCCCAGAGGTGGAGGACCAAGCCACAGAGGGTCATTTTTAGGCTAGGAATGCTAACAGAAGGTGCTCTGCTGAATTTCAGATTTGCTTGGGTCCAGTGACCTCTGTGTTCCCTTATTTTTCCCCTATGCCTATATTTTGAAAGCAGAAAACTTGTCTTTTAAGTTTCACATGTCCACACATGGAGAGGCATTTGGCCCCAGGATGGGTCATATCAGTGCCTGATTAGGGGAGTTAAATGATACTTTTGAACTAATGGTAGTTCGATGAGATTTTGGACTTAAAGTGCACTATAGTGGGGAAAGAAATTGGGGATGTTGGGATGGGGTGAAAGTATTTTGCCCATGGGATGGATGTGGATGAAGTTTTGGGGACTAGCGGGTGGACTGTAGTGGGTAGAATTGTGACCCACAAAAGCTATGTCCACCTAGACACTCGGAAATGACCTTATTTGAAATAAGAGTATTTGCAGACATAATTAAGGTAAGGATCTCAAGATGAGGTCATCCCAGTTCAAGTGGGCTGTTTATCCAAGGGTGTGTGTTCAGTAATACAGATTCTCAGGGAAGGGCCTATGGAGGCCAGAGGCTAGAGACTGGAGTGATGTAGCCGCGAGCTGAGGAACACCAGCGGCTGCCTGAAGCTGTCAGGTGCTAGGAGAGAGGTAGGGAAGGAATTCTTTCTCAGAGACTCCAGAGGGCACCAGCCCTGCTGATACATTGATTCTGGACTTCTGGCCCCAGAACTGAGAGAGAATATATTTCTGTTGTTTACTGCTACCAAGTTTGATCACTGGTTAGGGCAGCCCTAGGAAATGAATGTGAATTTTGGATGGAAAGGACTTAAATCAGAACAAGCCTCAAGTCCTTTGTAGTTGTGGGCATACCTCTTAGCTTCTCTGAGCTTTAACTTTGTCATGAGGGAAGGCCGGGGTGCTGTGAGGGTGGTATGAGCTGCGCGCACATTGGCAGTACAGGTTAATGATAGAATCAGGCCTGCTGTGTACTGATGGCCAGCTCTGTTCCTTTCTTTCATGTAATTCCCACCCAACAGGCGAGAAAACCTAGGCCCAGGTCTGTTAAGCAGCCAGAAAACCAAGCCAGCATTTGAAGTCATTCCTCTGGCTCCAAAGACCAGGCTGTGTCCACTATGTCCACTGTCCCTGGAGTCTCCAAGGAGATGCCAGGGGTGGTGGTGCTTTCATTTCTGGGGTAGGACCCTCCAACCTCCAGAGCAGCTTTGTAGGGGAGCGGGGCACCCCACTGAGGCCTCTCCCGGGCCCCAGAGCCTATAAAAACACATTTCAGGAGCTCCTGAGGTCTAGAGCTCCTGACCTCCTCTTGCCCCTGCTTTCCACTAACCGTAATTGGTGGCTGGTGCCTATCGGGCACTGGGAACGTTGCAGCATGGGGGCTTCAAACTAGATGGCCCTCCTCTCAAACCTGGTGACATCCCTGTCAGATTTCACTAATCAATTTGGACACATCTGACCGCTTGAACTCCCTCAGAGGCAGGGCACAGCCATTCCAAATAAACAGTCACATTCCCCTCCTGGCCAGGGCTGGCCCGCCGGAGCCAGTCAGACCTTGGCCCCTGCCTCTGCTGCCTGTGTCCGTTCC